CAAAGAAACCATGTCATTTGATAAAACACTATTGTTTTAAATAATATTTTTTAAAAGTTTCTCTCAAAATTTAGTAATTCGATTTGTTTAATTTAGATTTTCTTGGATTTTTAATTTTTTTTTTGTTGGATTAATCATTATAACATTTTGTTAAAAATGTAAAAGTATTATCACTGGTTCACTACACTATATCAATATTCATCGCATATCGAATGTTGCATTGTTTCAATATCTATCAACAAATTATCCAATAAATAACAAGTAAAAATTATATAACTATTATTTGGTGTTTGCTAGGTATGTTATAATATACTGTGAACACTATAAGGTTACATTATATAAGCATGAATTGTAAGAACATCGTTAGAGTCATCAGAGTCATCGCGTGCGCGCCCGATCGTCGAGTTAAGCAACAGTTTAATGCGGTCAGGACATGGATAGTGGCCAGCGGTATACCGCTTGGGATCGAAATTATCGCAGGAGGATTCATGAAAGTTTGAAATGTATTGACAACCTTCGATATCTAGTAGTTTATGAAACATGAGAAAATTAGGAATATAAGTATATTTTTATAAACATTATTATTTTCTCATTTTTCACCTTTGCATAATAATTCTCAGTATTTGATTACTATCAATATTTAACAGTATTCACCAGAATTTATTATCAGTATTCACCAGAAATTAAGTATTGGCCAAAAAATTATTGAATTACTGGTAATATTTAATCACTAATAATTTTTCAGTATTTCTTAGTATGATATTTCTATAAGGCTAGATAGGGCACTCTGTACAATTTCATAGATAATAATAGTAGCATTTAAGAAAAAAAAAATTTTAGATACTTGAACCGCTGTCAAAAGTAATTCTAACCTTCTAATTATTTATTATCATTTTATTCATTTGATAGTTTATCATCAGCTATCCAAGCTGATCCAAGACGACAAATATGTCATTGCTATGCTCGAAAAGTATCCATATGTCATTAGAAAAGTATTTAGCGTATTCTAGATACTAAATGATCAGTATGATGTGGACATAACAATCTACAATATGAGCACTATTTTAACATGTGC